CTACGTGCCCTACGTTATGCATGCTAAGTTATGGGCCCAACTAGGGCCTTCTAATCTGTCCGTATATCTAAATATATCTATTTACTTGACAGCTCTTGTGGCCTGCAATAGACATTTGCACCCAACATAAAAGCGAATTGCCAAATCAGAACTGATTGGAGTTCATTTTCTGCTTGCGACTCGAATCATCTCCATTTATCAATGGGATTATAAAATAGCTTTGAGGATTAAATAGTTTATTTGACATATATCATTTTAAACTGTGCAAAGCCATTTTCATAAGAGCTTTAAGATTTACACAATATTGAATACCTACACTAACATATAAATTCAGTTATGTATAAGTATAAAGTACAGAACATTCCCGAATATCAGGAAAAGAATAGTTTACTATTCTATATGGCAACACTGGAACAGTTGATCTTCACTTACCCAACAACTTTTTTTGAAAGTCTCAAAAATATCCTTGTCACTTAAAACTAACGATGATATGATTGGGATATTGCCAGTGTTGAACAACAGCAAGAATTTATTATTCACAGTGCCTAAAAGATTCCTGCAAATACTGACTGATTCATAAACACAATATAGAATACCTATACTAGATTATCAATTCAGTTATGTACATACATCTATACACTTCAGAACAATCTGAAATTTCAATGGCTGCATTTTGACGCCTAGCATGCTAACAATATCGAGCACTTAACCCGAGCTTTGTCAGACAGATTCCGGGTCGATTACAGTCACAATTGTCAGCTAACTTATGATGTCGACAGGCGCACGATGTTGATTAATGATTAAGTCTTAAATCAAGCAGAGCTCATTATATATTCTGGCTGTCTGCTTACGACAAGTGCGCAGTCAACAAAGCCCCAGCACCAATCTGAGCAATCGGAACAATCAATGAACCACAATAAATGTGCGACATTTCCTGCTGTGGGCGAGCCCCGCCAACTCCTCCCGGCAGGAGTAGGCTCCAAGTACATGCTAATTTGTGGCAACAGAACAATTTATTATTATACAACAAAATCAATGGCGACCATCAGGGCCAGCAACAAATGTCACAGCCTACAAGTATGTTAATTACATACTGTTATTAAACAAAAGTTTCGCTGTAATCAACTCGAGGTTAAGTTCGAAAAATACTCAAACCTAATTTAGTTGCTCAAATAAAAAAACTCTATTAAAACAGAAATTCGTATACAAGCGGAAAATGAATGAGAGAGGATTTCTACTTCCGATATATTTAGATTTTTGAATAAATAATATATAATATTTAATCTGTTGGCAATTCAAAACAGCGTGGAGATATTTTAAAAACAATCCTTCAAGGAAAGTTTCTCATTTATTTTATATTTCCAACTATATAAGCATATGAATGTCATTTCAAGTTTGGCTCCTTAGGTTATTTAATCTGCCTTAGGCAATACTTCAGCCTTTCAGTCATACTTCCGTGATTCACTTTGTAATTAAGAGGATTCATGTTTTCTTTAATTCCCTTATGAAATGATAAAATGTTCTTCGCCTCATAACTTGCAGAAGAATTTTCGCCAGTAAATGTGAAGGCCTTTCAACTAAAGCGAGCTTATACATATTGTTAGACCCCGGCGTGACCGCTTTGCCGACAGCTCTTCGATTAGCCATAAAAACGTTAAAAACTCAACATAAAATTTTGTAGGGCAGCTTTCGAGGCAGCGGCGACATTGTAGACATCAGATTGACTGGCAATGGCTTTCGTGTGCGCTGTTCATTAGCGTTTTGTCACCCAACAACAACGACAAGAATGGGTAGTAACAAAATCTAGCTAAAGCTAACAAAATTTTAGCAGCTTTCCACGTTACGAACGGTTAAGGTAAATGAGAGAAACAGGCGACGTTACCAGAGAACCCGCATGCGTTAGCTACTACAAGTCGGGGTCTTGCCATATACACACTAAATATACATATATATATATATATATATAGAGAGAGTACACAGAGCTAATATACGCTACGATTAGATGCCAAAGGTCAAAGATTAATGAACAACTGGCGTGTCAACTGTAAAGTGTGTGCAAAATATTCTTTTCATTTGTCAAGTCTAAAATATGGCCAGGGAAATGTTCGAGCGACGCGTGGACCGGCGAAGAGTTGTTATTATTATATTAAGTTAGCTGCAGAATTGCCCACAATATTGCCATATCCATATACATATGCATATCCTTACACACACCCACACATACCTACATACATATAGAACAAGATTTAGTTTATTGAACCTCCTTTTCGGCTGCGTGAATGCGTGTCAGCTAGTTATGAGAGGTTGGGCCGTGTGCTCACCGTCATTCGTCAATCAGAGTCGCAAATTGTTGATTACACCTACGACGACGACAACAACAACAACGGGAATACGTCGAGTCAAGGGCAGTTCCAGTTACAGACAGCTATAGCTACGGTTCTCATATATATGTTTACACATATACATATGTATGCATGTATGTGGCAGTCAGTCGGGGCATTACACACAGTTCCAGCCAGTACCGATCGATAGTGTCCATGTGGCTGCGATTTTGCACACGAAAAGCAAACGAAACTAGAAATGAGAATCAGAAATCGTACTAAAAAAGCAAACGGCAGTGCCTGACTGTATGATGCCCCGTCATTCGGTTGCACTTACATAACTTTGTTGTTTGAAGTGGCCGATGAGGAAAACTTCAGTATCGAATAGTAGTATGTATGCGATCATCTTAGAATTCATAAATTCGAATTAGGAAGAGTTTTTGTTAGTGTATATGTGTGCCAGTTTTGTGTGCTTTCATTTAATCAGCAATCAAAGAATCGATAAATATCGATTTCTTCTCTTTTTCGCTGTATTTCATAAATAAAATCTATTTTACAAATTCTTCGATAATTTAATATACAGATATATTGATATTTCTGGGCTTAACACGTATATACTATACTACTTGCTGATAATCGAAATATAAAAGAGAAAAACATGTAAGCCAAGAAAACGAATATAATTCTATGAAGAACCCCTATCAAGCAATGTGGGCTTCTTCTAAGGTCTTTGTTATTCCACATCCCTATTCAGTCTTTCTTACATGTATTTATCGACATTGCTCTAAATACCTCATAAAATAGTATAGGGTATCCAGAAAACCTTAAAAACTGAAACGAAAGTCGAGCGTGCAACCTGAGACTTTCGCATACCCCGAACGCTATTTATGTATGTGTGTATGTGTGTATATAGAGGCGACACCTATATATCTCTTCTTTATATATAGGACACTCGCACTCGGTACGTATGTGTGTGTCTGTGTCTGTATTTGTGTGACATTTTATTTGCCTTATTACCAACACGCAGCATATTTTGTAGCTGCTTTAGAGGCAGCGCCTTGTTTATCGGCAGAGTCTATAGAGTATTGAGGCTTTCTGTAGCGCCCGCAAGTCGCGACTCATTAGTAGGTGTGTGTGAGTGTGTGTGTGTTTGCGGGTGGGTGAGATTAGATATTGCTGTGTGTGCAGGTTAAAATGGCATTGACTTCTGTTTGTCTGATTTTAGCAGCAAACTTACTTTAAAAAGCAAATAAATAAATCATATATATCATATATCACGATTATTACATGTCATGTCTACAGTGTCTCAACGTGCTTCAAGTTGAGATTCATTCCAACGTTCCTTGAAATATACTGGGAAATGTGTAAAGAGATCCTGTCGAGCCTTGGTGAAGCTCGCTTTGCCGAAAGCCGCCAATAAATATATTTCGCTATGATTTTTCAATTCTTTTTTACTTTGCATGACTGATATGATGAATGAAATGTAAATACATTTATATACCATATACCGTATAAGATTTACGCTATTTCAGCTGCGGCATGACGATGTCTATGTTTCTCTATAATACAAGATTTATGCATATGGAGCTATGGTTACTTTAATAGTGTTTGGAATGCAGTTCATGTTGCTTCTTTACCCTCAAACTTTGTTATTTTCATTGATTATTCGTTAAGTTTTATTTTGACAACTTTCTCTCTTTCTACCTAACCAAAGTATCCTAAGGTTAAGTCTTACTCTGCTTACCCCTTAATCTGTTTCCTAACTGTTTACTGTTTAACCCTAATCGATGTGTGTTCATGCATTTTTAAGAAAACCGACAAAATATTTACGAATACTGTGAGAAGTCAAAGGAAAGTGAATCGAAAATCTTTATCCAATTGGCTCAGCTCAGTATTTTAACTATAATTATCGTTATTCTTGTTATTATTATTCTTATTAAATTATATTGTTGTTGTAATTGATGGCGAATTCTTAACCGCAAGCAAAACTATGAAATAAGATTTTGAAATTGGATTGAAAATTATATATAAAAAAAAGTATATATATATATATATATATATATATATATATATATATATATATATATATATATATATATATATACATATATATACATATATCTAAATTTGATTGCTTTTGCATTAGTCGTTGAACTTGTGAAATGAGTTTGTACTTATTCAGTTTATTTTGATTTACTTTTCCTGTATGCTTTTGAATAAATATTTATATATATTAGTAATTGAAAGAAGATTGAAAGATAAATATGAAGTAAACCACCGCTCTCTCACAGTCGAACTAACCACAGTAACTGTATATATTTTCTATGCATTTGCCCACCACCAACACCACCACAACAACCAACCAAACAACCAACCAACCAACCACTGCCACCGTCAACAACAACAACAACACCACCACCACCACCACCACCACAATCTGCGTGTGCGTGCGCGCGTGTGTGTGTGTTTGTATGTGGGTGGCTGTGTGTTTGTGTATGTGCGTCGTATACGTCGTCATCGCTGTAATCGATAAACGATAAACTCGCCTTTTGATGTTTCGTATGCTCTCGTTGTCCACATATACCTCAAAATCGATCATCCGATCACCACCCGATCGATATATATACATACATATATGTGCCCACGCATATATATATCTATGTATGTCGATCTGCACAGTGCGCTCAGGGACGGGCCGCCTGGCTGGAGCGCGGCCGTCGCTGCAGCGTCCAGGAGCAGCAACAGCAACAGGCCACCTGCCATCGACGCTGGGTGAAGCGCAATCGAGTAAGTTCATCACGTAGAGCCACTCACATAGCGCCGTGTACATACCCATTAACAACAACCTATATATATACTTAATTATATATGTATGTCTATATTTCTATATAGATGTATATATACAACAGCAATCACCGATTCACCGAATCACCAATCAGCAATTTGTGCAATTCCTCTTCTCTTTTGATCTTTCGCACACAGCCTTTTCCCTTTCCAAGCGCATTATTTATGTATTTTCTTTTTCTCGATCACACCTCGCTCCTTCTCTTGTGCTCTCGCTCTCTTTCTCTCTCTTACCTCTCTCGCAATTGTTCAGCGCATTGGACGCCAGGTGGCTTCAGGATTATTCAAACTTATAATAGCCATTAACCATTTACTTGATCAAGCCCCAAATAGCAAAAAAAAAAAAATACACATTTTCATTTAACTAAGATTTTCATACATTCAGCCGAGTGCTGTCCCTATCAACTATAAAATTCTATAAAAACATTGATATATGGGTAATTCCAAATGACAAAAAAATAATATAAACAAATGTCCAATCTGTTTCTTAAATATCAACAAATATGATTAACATTATTTTGCATCATTAGAGTCTAGCAAATCTGTGTTTCTATAATCTAAGATTTATTCCAATATTTATATAAACATTTCTTATGTCTAGCTGGAAATGCCTATATGAATTGAAATTATAGAATTATAGTTATTTATCATTTCTATTACTAACATCCTAGATAGTATCATACGTTTTTGCTGATCATCAGTTAGAAGATCACAATTATAGATGCATTGGGACAGCACTCGAATATCATTGGAAGTACCACTAATAATATATATACGTCTATGTATGCTCATGTGTTTCGCTCGGCAGATCCAAGATGCCTCATTGGGCGGTTCGTCGGACGATGAGGACTTTCTGGGTGTACTACGTGGACCCAGTACCTTCGCGAATGCCTTTCTCTATGTGGGCCTGGGCACCGTTGCCTTGGGTCTGGTCATCGCATTCGTCGGCACCGGCGAGAAGGGTTTTAAAACAGTGGAACTAAGACTTATAGGGCCCTCTCTAATAGGCAATATACTGTTGCATCGATTCTACATAAAGCAATCCGTCTCATTTGAGCTTTTCCTTATCCAGGTTTGGGTCTGATCTGTTGCATTTTACGCATTCTCTTCTGCATCTGCCCATCCCACTGCATCTCATCCAGCAAGAAGGCCCGCAAGAAAAATGGTAACAAGATCGATGCGGATCACACGACCTCCCTGCTCCGCAACGAGAGCAAACGCGTGTCCATAGCGCGTGGACCCTCTATTCAGGTAGGTGGTAACAAAGCACTGGGATAAGCTCAAGTTATAGAAATCTGTTGCGAAATAAAAAAAATCAATTTAGATATATGAAAAGTAAATCCAATTTTGTTCTGCAATACGGCCTACTTTCTCCCACATGCTAGTCATCCTGCTGCACGGTAGTAATCCATTTTATCTGATAAAAAATAATTAATTATATAGACACTATCGGTATACTCCGCAAAAATGAAATTGTCTATTCATTGGCTTCTGCTATTTTTACCATATTTGTTTATTATAAATTTACAATACCGACAACTAGACTTCATTTTATACACTATTTACCTAATACATTTAACATTTGGCTCACACTTGATCAGTGGATAGTGTCGAGATCTGCCATCAATATATAAAAACTAAACAGATAATATGAACTTGAACGAGAATTCTAGTGCATAGTAACAAATCTTGCGATCTTGATGTTTGTATTAATGATAATACAATGATAATGATATTAAAGACAAAATAAGAGCAATTTGTATTTTACAATAGTCTAAATATTTAATGGAAAGCAATAAATGGATAATTTACTGAGAGTCTCAATCAATTTGCCCAGATCGCAGCTAATTTGCAATTAGCCATCCACTGTTAAACTATTACACTATTAAACTATTACTCGATCGTGTTAGCCATTTATTTCTTATAACATGAGAACTGTTAATTAACATTAAAAGTGCACTTTTAACGTCGGTCAGTTGAACAACAGTAAGAGCGCTGTTAGCGTACTGATCAAGTGTCACGATTGAGTGAGTCTTTTAACAGTGCTCAAGTGTATACTGCAGAGCCTATATGTTCCTTTGGAAATCTTTATTTTCGTTTTTCTCGGTTAGCAATTTTATCATTTTCATTTGTGACTTTTCAGCCAAAGTATCCAATTGCACACAAACGCAGCCAGAGCAAGATGCTCAATGAGGGAATGGAGGCACTGCGTCAAATCGCCACCACATCGCTCTTCATGCAGAACGAACAGAAGACGGCCATAAACCGCGTAGTGCCCATTATAAACGAGCCGGAGAGCATGGATCATATGGGAGGTGAGTGAACAAATAAAATTAATTTATATACATAAATCGATTATAATGTTAATTTTACAACAGATGCGCCGCTCGAGATGAAGAAGTTGCAAAAGGCGCTGAATATGTGCGAGATGAGCGACGAGGAGCAGGAGGAACATGTGCAGCAGTCTGCTAAACGTACAGTCGCAGCAGCTGCAGCAGCCACAGGAACCACAGCATCAACAACAAAAACTGCCGTTACGAGTAGTACCACCAAAGCAACAAAAGCAACAGCCCTGAGCACCGTGGACGAGCGACCCAATAGCAAATTGTCGCGCCAACGCGTTGCCCTGCAACAGCAACGCCAGCAGTCGCAGCAACAGTTGCAACTGCAACAGCAGCAGCAGCAACAGCAGGAGCTGCAGCACCCACAATTGGAACAATCGCAGTCATTGTCCTCCTCGTCTACTGTCCGAGACTCGCTCGATGGCGTCGTCGTTGTGGAGGAGACCTCGCTTATGGACACGGCCACGCCTACAGTGGCAGCTAAGCCTCTGCCGCCGCCCACAGCACTGCCCAGCAGCAGCAGCAGCGGCGCCATACCCCGGCTCAAAAGCTCAACGGCAACATTCAGTGCGGCTCGACCGGGCATCTCGACGGGCGCCACGCCCAAAACAACGCCCACCACCAGCAACACAAGCAACAGCAACAGCTACATGACACGCCTCACCAGCTCCCAGTCGCAGCCGATGAGCTACGATCTGCCCCCAGCGCTACCGCACACCTATTCCGCGACAGCCACGGTGCGTGGTCCTCTGGGCATGACTCTAACTGGCACCAGCAGCGCCTATGGCTCGCCTGCCAGCCGCACCACTGCGACCACGACGACGATCAGTTTGCTGCCCCTGCCAGCACCGCCATCAGCTGCAGCAGCAGCGGCAACATCAGCAGCATCAGCAACAGAAGCAGCAACAACCAGCATACCCGGCCAGGTGCTGGAGCCCCAGTCAAGGATGGCCACAACAAGTCTGAGCATATTGCAGCCATTGCACAGGCCAGTGACGGCCCACTCGTCAACAGCAGCAGCACGAGCAGGAGCAGCAGCAGCAGCAGGAGCCGGAGCAGCAGCTAGAGCGACGTCAGCGGGTCACAAATCACAGCCGTCATCCGACAGCCTCACAGTAGGGCGTAGCAATCAGCTGCTGCTGCTGCCCAGCAAACTGGAGCCGGAGCTAGTGCTCAGTCCCTCAAAGCTGGGCCAGTAAAACAAAATATTAGTTATGATTTAGTTAGGATTTCATGCAGCCACAAATAAGCTATATATATGTACATATATATAGTTCGGTATGCCTGTGAGTGTGCGTGTGTGTGTATGTGCGCGAGTCCGAGTGCGAGTGTGTGCGGGTGTGTGTGTGTGTGTGTGTGTGCGTATCTGTAGCTACCTAGCACTCTATTTTGAATGTGCCACAACAAAACTGAATGGAAATACCAGAATATGCCCTATAAACGCCCATCAGTCATGCTCCGATTGGCAAGATCCTTCAGCTATATATACATATACATGTATGTACGTATAGTATTTCTAAATACAAGAAACAATCTCTTGTCTACTTTCCGAACGCAATTTATGATATACCCAGATCTTTCGGCTTCTCTAAATATCCCTGTATTTCCGAGCGTGACTGAAGCCCTTACAAGAAGCTTTCAGTGTCTATTTTTCAATTATAAATGTATATATCTATATATTCTGGCAATATATTTTTTCAATTTCTGTATGGGAAGTGCTCAGCAAATGATAAATTTTCCAAATTGACATTTCGCGCGCTGTCTAAAATCTAAAACCTTAATTAGCCAGTTCAGGGTATTATAAAGTTTGTATACCAAACATATCGTTACAAAAAATATACAACAAATAATAGAAAATATTTATAAACAATAATTAATATCGAAACGAAATGAAATGAAATTGATAGCAAACAAAAAAAAAAAAAAAAAAGGAAAGCCGTCGTCCAGTTGATCAACTAACATAATATTCATACAGAAATAGGTAATTCTTCGTGCATGGCCGTGTAGAAGCGAACATTATATACAAATATATACATATGTGTATATAACATATGCATATGTACATATGTGAAACTAATTAGATTTGTATGCAACCCGAAATTGAATGTCGATGTAGTTGAATGCAGCGGATGAAACTCGTTTAACATTAACATACATTTATAACAAAAGGCCCAGATCTAACAGAGATGTAAGAAATGCATATGTGTCGGATTATGTTAAATGGTAGCTCTTAAGCAATACCACTGTTGTCTGGTTAGTGGCAATACAGTCAGTTGTCTGTCTGCAAGCAGATACAAGTTTTTAATCTGCTTAATCGCAATGCAATAATTAAAAATTTAAGAAATTTTTTATGTTTATTACATATACTCTATTTTATGATAATTTCTTTTTCACTTCTTAAGGCAATTTTTTAAGAGCATCAACTAATGCAACTTTTAAACAATAAATCCGAAAGTAATCAAGATTAGGAATCATCAATTGTACCCAACAATCGGATATAAAAGAAAATGTAAGAGCAAAGCAAAAGCTATGAATATGGGCAAATAATAAAAGCAAAACCTGTAAAACGAAAGAGAGAAACGCAACAGATGAAACTATTAGAGAACTATAATGAAAAGAATATATGAATTAGTATGTATGTCAGTAAATGTATGTGCAGAATAAAAACAAAATACCTAACGCACAAGTCTTTACATATAAATATATTTATAATTTTACTTTTAGCAGCCGTTACAAATGGGAATCATATTAACAGCAACTGTTAAAGGACTTATTCAATCACTCATCGTGCTGGCTAACATTAGAAAATCCCGCTACTTAGCAGCAGACATAACAGAGTCTGTTAATTTAAATTTCGATAAGTCTGTAAATTGCTCAATTGGTTATGCAATTAGCAGTGCTGTTAACTAACTATTCTGTTCGTTTCGTGTTATTTTTTAAAAATGTTTGCGCGCACTAAGGAAAGTCCCTTCAACTTCTTTTAAGCAATTAAACTAAAACATGAAATGCTAATTTGAACCGGTAATTTCGATGAGAACGGATATTTTTTTTATTCATCTTACCGTTTAATTTTAAACTACTGATAGTATCAAGTTAAAACCCCTCCAAGTATGCAACGAAAATAGTATTTCGCTGTTATAATTTAAATGCAGTTGATGGGCGCAGCGAACTTTATTGAATATTTCGAGCAGAATGGTCACCCCAAATCTGTTATGTGAACCGGCTATAATAGGGCAGAAGTTCCATAATGTAAACGCAAGTATTCAAATTTTTTTTATTACTGTATTCATGCATTCCATTTTATATATGTCGAAATTTGTTTGTGTTTGCCAAAGTTCAGTTTTACATACATATATAAATATTTATATATTTATATGCATATGGTATAACGTCGAATAGAAATATTTCAGTATGCTAAGAGTTTGTTGGAGGCGTTTAAAAGGGACTCACGCAAGCTACTAAAAAAGGATTTCGATATATCTGCACATTTATATATATATATATATATATATATATATATATATATATATATATGTTACATATGTAGTAATGAATGTGAGTGTGTTTGTTATACTTATCAAAGGATCTACTACAACAATAATATCAGTATCAGTTATATTTTTTGTGTACCCATTACCATACATTTCTTTTTGTCTCATTTCAGTCTTGCCTTGTCACACGACTTGGCTTCTCAATACATCATCATTATACTTATCGTCATGTTCAATTAAATGTTTACACATTGTGAATAATACGTAAACTTTGGGAACAGCATCCAAGAAGTGCTCAGATTTCACAGTTATATGTATATATCCTGAACTATTTTAATATAGTGTAATATTTTGTTTGTTTCTTTTCTTTTTGTTGTGGTTTGTTGACATTTAAAGAACTACTAATGCTTGAATTCTAAATTGATTAATTGTCATTTCAAGGGATTAGCATAGACACCGAATAAAACATGATTACTAAATCGTAAATGTTTGTTTCATTTACATAAACATATACATATTTCTGTATATATGTCTCTATTGAAAAATTTAATATTGCTTCTGCATGGATCTCGGAACTTGATCTTAACTCGGTTCATAATTATCTTAGCTGCTTCAAAAGGCCTACGGGCGGCATAAAGGGCGCTAGTTTTTCATTTTGACCAAAAAACTATCCTTACATATTTGTCTTTAACGCCTTTCCATTTAAAAATCCCTGAAAATTGCTTTTACATAGCTGTCGAAAAATTCTTAATCTGTATAATCTTTTTAGATGACATTAAATATGTATTGTATGTTTCACATTAAAGCAATGTTTGTTTCTTATCTCCTTATCTCCCGTTCATCATATTCTTGGTCTTATTAGAAGAATTGGTGAATAATTTATGCGCATACGTACATGTGCTCTAAAAGCAAATTCAAAACTGCGTTTACTTAACTAGATTAAATAATCTTTTAGACATTGATTTATCACACCAATTTGTATACATATATATATATATATATATATATATATATATATATATATATATATATATATATATATATATATATATATATATATATATATATATGTATACATATATGTATATATATGCATATACAATTTACAGATATATATGCTGGCGGGTAGTTTTTTATATAGATACAATTCTTATATTCCATTAACTTTCTATTCACACAAACATACATTGTATCACCCTTGCGCTACAGTGAAGCCTGACTTAGTATCTACCAAGAAAAAAACACTATGCCATGTTCAGAGTACTCAAAGTACACACACGTGCCCAAAGTATTATACCTATACGTATGCTTTTTATAACTGTAGTATTATAGAGCTTTCTCTCAGTTTCGTAAACGCATCCAAATTGCATTTAGCTGAATCGGCTTTACAACTAGTATCATAGCTTTTTTGTGAGTATTGCTTTAGTTTTTTACAGGGTTTTCATGTTCGTAAATACATATCTTATATGTAGTCTACATATCCTAAATATGAAGCTTATTTACAGTTGATTGTGACTGCAGTTGTTCATAAAAAAAAGGAAACTGAAAAAAAATAATATTAAATCACAATGCTTTCAAAGGAAAAAACATGATTGTTGCTTTTGTAAATCATAATTTATGCTTGTATTAAGTGGACATAATCTTATAAGGTAGATCCATATAGAAATTAATCGATAACTATTAATTTTGAAATAGAAATAAAAATAAATTCTTTGCTAAATATTTAGTTTAAAATAAGCGAGAATCGATAATCAATTTGCATATCTTTCAGCCTGGCCGAAACGCTCGCACAGTGAGGCATGTCTTATAAAACATATATCCATATGAATGTATATAAACATATATCTAATGTATATATAACTGAGGACTAGAACATATTTCGTTTGAGACTTCTAACCAGTTATTCATGACTCAAAAAATAAATAAAAAATTATCATCATCGGACAAACAGACAAATTATTAAAACTGTTATATACGGAAAATTTAGAACATGCCGTACCGCCAGTGCCAAAAAATATAGGATATATCTATGTGTATATATTAAACAGAGCGACAAATACGAGAGATCGTTTAAAAATGGACCAAAATGTGGTTAGTCCTTAAATTGCAAGCTATATATTACATACGCATAGACGCTATACCCTACTGATATATATATATATATATATATATATATATATATATATATATATATATATATATATATATATATATATATATATATATATATAAATATATAAATAAGTATATATAAATACATATGTATATCAACGCATATGTATGTATAGCGCTTATGATTTGATTTGACTTGTTGATTGCCTACAAGCTAATAATACCTTATGTTTTGCGCTAAGATTTCTACACATGATATATCTAATATCTAAGCATATAGATCATACATTAAATTAGTTATATATATATATATATATCTGTATGTATGCATACGTATCATTTGTGTGTGTATATGGTATATATGATATTTGTTAGTAATGTATACAATCGTATAATATTGCAAGTTTTCAACATTCAGTTTCATTTGACATTTTATGCGTGTGTTTCGAGTGTGTTGCATTAAACCTATATACAATACAATTGCTTGTCTTCCATTCCTTATATAATATAATATTACAAATTGAGTTGTCATTTCTTGATCTCATATATTGTTTGTTTGTTCTTTTTTTTTTTTTTTTTTTTTTTTTTTGTGTATTTTTGTATACATTTAGTCTATGGAGCAGGGGGGGTGGGGCATGGCTGCTTATAAAGCAGGGAAAAACCTTCTTCAATTTAATGACAGGTTTATCGATTACAACTATAGTCTACTCAATAATACATACGATGTATCATAAGAATCAGTGAAAGGAATTTAGTACTCACAAAAATTTATGAATTAAATATATAGTATTTGAAAATTATTCTGAAATGGTTTTTCTAATATTTTTGAAATCAAGTAAAATAGACCAAAACTATTTTTTTTTTTTTTTTTTGTATATTCTAATTTCTTTTTTGAATATTAATAAATTCAGTTGCAATTAAAAAAGAAATTTAAATAAAATGGAATCTATAAAGCTTTTACATTCAACTAGAAACTTTCGAAAATTATAAACTCTAATAAACATTTTAATTACAATTTAAGTTTCGTGAACTTTGTAGTTACAAAATATTAAATTCCTTTCAATTATTCCAAACAAAATATTTCAAAGAGTCGAATTAGAAAATCATTGAAAATATGTAGACTTTTCACAAATTGACTCTTCTTATTTTTTTCATTTTTTGCCTTCACCAAGACATTTTCGACATTTCTTTTTTTTTTTTTTTTTTTTTTTTGCACATTCCAGTATTTGTTTTTTGTGTGTTGTTTGAAGCAATACCATTCTGTTTATCTTGAAAATACTTTTCTTTCCTATTCGGATAATTATACACCTATTTACTATATGGGTCTTTCTAATGTTGCCTGCACTGCAGAGCGTTTGCTCCACATGTATTGTTTATATACAATAATGATATATGTGTATACATACTATTTCTCAGTTTTGTTCGCTTAACGAGTTATTTTAAATAAAATATATATGTATATATATATATACATAAATATATTCATATGTATACTACTACATATAAATAAATATATGTATGCTTCTATATATATTATAGAATTCGCATTGTCCTTTCACATTCAGAATAATCCCTGGGCGCCGGCTAGCCGTTGCCTCCGAAATCACAAGAATCATCATTTGAGCGTATTGTATATGTTATCCTCTCCAGCTAGTTCCACGGTGGTCACATGCTGCTCTCCGAGTGGCTCCTCGCCTAGGTAGACGGTGTGGTAGCTAATCGAGGTGTTGGCAGTGGGGCAGTTAATCTCCACCCGACTGACAGACTGCGATCCATTCGGCAGATATTTGAGCGAAGCGTAATCTCCATCATCATCCACTGCATCATCTCTATCCTCCCCTTTATCGTCGTGCTGCGATGGCAGCTGCGTCAGCTGCGTAGTGCCCGAGAAGCCATCGCAGGTGTGCGATGCGCAGATCTCAGCATAGATATTCTCCTTGGCGTAGTCCACAGCGGCAGGCAAAATGGGCACTGGCTCCCTCTGCTGCTCCGCGCTCTCCAAGCTGGACATGATCAGAGAATCACGTACACTAGAGTAGGGCAGGTCGTCTTCCACCAGCGATGTCGGCGAAACAA